TGGTATATTGCTTTGAATTTACTCAACTCAGTTAAGTTGAACCAGGTAACATAACAAGATTAAGTAAATCCAACATTTCATTTTTTACAGTGTACATGTTTGTGTTTGGGACATAGCTGGTTGCAGAAGGTTGTGTGATGTTTGGTTTCTCCTGCCTCCTCCTGCTCTGCAGACGTCCACCATGAATCAAACGTGACACCTCCTCTTCATAATCTGATTTCCTCTCTTCTTTTGTCCTTTGCTGTGCCTCCAGGCTGCAGGCTCTCCGGAAGGAAAAGTCCCGGGACGCAGCAAGGTCGCGGCGGGGAAAAGAGAACTTTGAGTTTTATGAACTAGCCAAGATGCTGCCGCTGCCCGGCGCCATCACCAGCCAGCTGGACAAGGCCTCCATCATCAGGCTGACCATCAGCTACCTGAAGATGAGGGACTTCGCCAACCAGGGGGACCCCCCGTGGAACCTGCGCATCGAGGGGCCCCCGCCCAACACCTCAGTCAAAGGTAGGACAAACACAGAAACAAACAGGAAATGATGTCACTACAAACTGTTGTCAGTCCCTCAGAGACTGTCAGGAAGCAGAGAACAGGTTGAGAACAGCTTCCTGTTGTGAATGAAACTGATCGTTTTAACTAAGCTGATGACTTGTTCTTCACTGATTGTTTAGTTTTTATTTTGCATGAATGAACATCCATCACAGATCCACCATGACTGTTTCATGACAAACACACCAAATGATAAAACTCTGATTTTAACACAACAATCCAACATTTTTACACTCATCATCTCATATTTTCAGAAAAAGGAAGCTTTGATTCTTGTCAGGAGAGGTTTGAGTTATCTGGATGTGTTGAGGTAAACCCAGGTTGTTTTTATAGATGAGTAGATGAAGCTGACCTGGTCATCTGCAGATCACCTGGTAATCCTCACTCTGTCACCTTACTTTGACTTCAATAATAGTGGAATATTATTTTCTGTGACATTTGTGMCCCATGTGTTTTTCTGATTGACCAACAACCAGGAGCACTTCCTGCCTCTTTAAGCTCGTATCAAACCCTGAGAGGCTGTGGAAACATGCAGACAGCTAGCCTCTGTGCTAAGTGAGCTTTGATGAATTTCTGCCTGGAGAACCAGAACATACACAGCACTCATGAATCTGAGTGGAATTTGACTTTGAAATTGGCCTTTTGTGCAACAGTCAGAAGACAAGATGTTTGCTTTGAAAAGAGCTGCTGGACCTTCAGGAGTGACCCACAGATAAACGCAAACCGCTGGATCCTTCCCCTGCTGTGTGTGTGTTTAAAGGGGGAATCATTAGCTGTAGTGTGTGTGTGTGTGTGTGTGTGTGTGTGTGTGTGTGTGTGTGTGTGTGTGTGTGTGTGTGTGTGTGTGTG